AATCTCTCTGGCGTGACTGACACCCTGTTGTTCTTGTGCAAGCTGAAAGTAATTCTATGGACCTTGCACAGGGGAGGGTCTCGGGCGTGGGGGTGGGACTCACAGTGCTTTAACTACACATACCCACCAGAAAGAGGATGCTGACTTCGATACCAATGTCCTAACATTTAAAAGTTATGCCTGGCACCCTCCTCAGCCCTCTATTTGCTTCCCAGCTCCCTATATGGAAATCGCTTGAAGGCATCACAACATCTTTTGAGCAGACACATCTTTGCCCCACCCCCATTGCACGTGCAATGAAACAGATGTGTGTGGATTCCTCACGAGGACCAGTACACACACACACAGACACACAGGGTTTGGGGGGGGCATGTAAATGTCATGCATGCAATAATAATAATAATAATAATTTATTATTTATACCCCGCCCATCTGGCTGGGTTTCCCCAGCCACTCTGGGCGGCTTCCAAAAGAATATTAAAATACTGTGATACATCAAACATTAAAAGCTTCCCTAAACAGGGCTGCCTTCAGATGTCTTCTAAAAGTCTGGTAGTTGTTGTTCTCTTTGACATCTGGTGGGAGGGCGTTCCACAGGGAGGGCGCCACTACCGAGAAGGCCCTCTGCCTGGTTCCCTGTAACTTGGCTTCTCGCAGTGAGGGAACCGCCAGAAGGCCCTCGGTGCTGGACCTCAGTGTCCGGGTAGAACGATGGAGGTGGAGACGCTCCTTCAGGTATACTGGACCGAGGCCGTTTAGGGCTTTAAAGGTCAGCACCAACACTTTGAATTGTGCTCGGAAACGTACTGGGAGCCAATGTAGGTCTTTCAAGACCGGTGTTATATGGTCTCGGCGGCCGTTCCCAGTCACCAGTCTGGCTGCTGCATTCTGGATTAGTTGTAGTTTCCGGGTCACCTTCAAAGGTAGCCCCACGTAGAGCGCATTGCAGTAGTCCAAGCGGGAGATAACCAGAGCATGCACCACTCTGGCGAGGCAGTCCGCGGGCAGATAGGGTCTCAGCCTACGTACCAGATGGAGCTGGTACACAGCTGCCCTGGACACGGATTTAACCTGTGCCTCCATGGACAGCTGTGAGTCCAAAATGACTCCCAGGCTGCGCACCTGGTCCTTCAGGGGCACGGTTACCCCATTCAGGACCAGGGAATCCTCCACACCTGCCCGCCTCCTGTCCCCCAGAAACAGTACTTCTGTCTTGTCAGGATTCAATCTCAATCTGTTTGCCGCCATCCATCCTCCAACCGCCTCCAGACACATGCAAGAAATTCTAAGATGTGAAGAAGCGCGAGACAGTGAAACCCAAAGCAAGTATTTCCCCTGCTTAACACTTTCATCGGGTGCTTACGAGTTGCATCTTTGCCTGAAAAAATAACCCTCTACAACGGCACATTGCCCGAGTTCAAATGAGTACATACTTCATGATGTTGAGATATTAGACACAATTTTGAAGCCTACTGAATTGTGCAAAATCTCATTCTAGTCTTCCCTTTTGGCTTACACATAGATTGGTAACTGTAGTTTTGCTTTCTCCCTCTCACAGCTCAATCCTATACATGTCTAAAAAGGTAAAGGTACCCCTGCCCGTACGGGCCAGTCTTGACAGACTCTAGGGTTGTGCGCTCATCTCACTCTAGAGGCCGGGAGCCAGCGCTGTCCGCAGACACTTCCGGGTCACGTGGCCAGCATGACAGAGCTGCTCTGGCGAGCCAGCGCAGCACACACGGAAACACCGTTTACCTTCCTGCTAGTAAGCGGTCCCTATTTATCTACTTGCACCCGGGGGTGCTTTCGAACTGCTAGGTTGGCAGGTGCTGGGACCGAGCAGCAGGAGCGCGCCCCGCCGCGGGGATTCGACCCACCGACCATGCGATCGGCAAGTCCTAGGCGCTGAGGTTTTACCCACAGCGCCACCCGCGTCCCTCTTTTATCCTTTTTTATACTTTTGAGTACATGTCTACTCAAAAGTAAATCCAGATATTTTCAGCAGAGCTTACTCCCAGCAGGCCTGTGCATTCTAGAGGACCACAGCCTGAAGCTAAACCAACCAATGATGACTGTGATTAAGATAAACTTCAAGACATTGAGCCACGTCTGTTCTATTCTATAATGCCTTTTTTTTTTTTGCCCAAACATTTCCACATATTTCAGAAGCCTGACTCTTCAAAAGCATCCAGTCCCCTTAGCTAAAGAAACAACGTTCACCAGCATGGGAACATTATTGTGGTATTTAACCACTGGCACCCTGCCCTGCGCTTTGAAGAAAACTTAATAACCATTTGCATTACTACTTTATACAAGTAAAAGTTAGCACTGAATTCAGTTCCAAAAGGTGTAGATCGGGCTTCCTCAAACTCAGCCCTCCAGATGTTTTTGGCCCACAACTCCCATGATCCCTAGCTAGCAGGAGCAATGGTCAGGGATAATGGGAATTGTAGTCTCAAAACATCTGGAGGGCCAAGTTTGAGGAAACCTGGTGTAGATCAAAGATGGGAAAACCTCCTGATATTGGACTACAACTCCCATCATCCCTCACCACTGGACATGCTAGCTGTGGCTGATGGTATTTGGAGTCCAATGACATCTGGAGGGCTACAGGTTCCCTCCCCATCCCTGGTTTACATGGAGCAGGATTAACCTATCAGTCACTGAGAGATCCTACAGAATTACTCAGAGTTCAATGGGACTTACTCCCAGGTAAGAGGGTACAGGATTGCTCTCTCAAGTCAAAGTAAAGGGATGCTGTCACAGCATAAATGACACAGCCAAGACCTTGCTTCTTCACCAGTTGAAATAAAAGCATGGGCTGTAGCGGCACATCACTTTTGTCAGCTGCCATGCCATCCCTCTGTCAAATTTTGTTTGGAGCAATAAACCTGGCAAGCTGCATCTCAAAGGAAAAGGTGCAATGCAAGTGCTAGGATGCCTTTTCTTGTTGAAAGCATTTACTTGGAAACCCTAGTTAGGCTTTTCTTCCTTATTAACCATATGCCACGAACACCTTTCTGCGAGCCAGCGTTTGCCAAGATAATGTAAAGGAAGAATTGGAGAGTGGGAAAGAGGCTGAAACAATCTCCTGCTTGCTAAATTCTTCCTCTACAAATGCCTACAGAGGCCATTCGCCTGTTCCCTTTCGAGCTTTCTTCCAGTTTCAAAACCTTTCACGTGGGGAAAATGGGTTAAACATGGCAGTGGGTTTTGCTAGGTGGGGACATTAGGAGTTGTCGTCCTAAACACCTGTAGGTCACCAGGATTTTTAATTTTTTTTTAATAAAAGCCAACCAGTCTGGGTAACAAAGGATTATTATTATTATTTTCCATAAGTCAAGCAGTCTGGGTGGGTAGAACTGTTAAAACACCTCTCCCCTACCAGTTTCCTTCCCTTGCATTTACTTTGCAAAGTAAGCCTCTTTCATTTCTATTAAAACGTCTGGTTCTGCCCTCAACAAACAAAGCTCGATGATGCAATGTCATCCCCCATCCTCCTCATGACGCAAGGAACAATGGCGTTCTGGACTAATTCTGCATACATTTACTTCAAATCTTTTGCCAGTGCTTAGAATGTAAGAAGAGCCTGCTGGATCAGGCCAATAGCCCATTTGGTCTAGCACCTTGTTCTCACTGTGGACAAACAGAAAAACCTATGGCACGCCCACAAACAGGAGCCAAGCACAAGAGCAGCACTCTCCCTTCTCGCAGCTTCCAACAACTGTTGTTCAGAAGCCTACTGCCTTCAGCAATGCAGCTAGAATAGAACATAACCATCGTGGCTATTAGCTGCTGGTGGCCTTAACCCATGAATTTTAAGCTTTCCCTGATTTAAATGGGGATTTCAATAGCAGCCATGATTTGGGTGCATTTTGAGAAGCTGGGATTGAGAGTGCATAATGGCTCTAAGGCCCCAGGCAATTAATAACCACACCTCTACAAATACACTCAGTGACATGAGCAATTCTTACCCTCATTTTGGCTCTCCTGTGCTTTTTAAAGTTCTGGTCTGAGGAGTTCTTTTTAAAGTTCTGGTCTGGTATGAGGAGTCCTTGCACTCTCGGTTTCTGGATAATCAAGGTTCCTTGGCATTTGCCCTTCACTCTAGGGACTTGGCTAGAAGCACATGTTGAATGTTGCTTAATGACACCTTCTTTTCACCTGGCATCATTCCATGATTTCCCCTTATTAAAAGCAGCTGCTGAGAATTCTTCCCACCTGGTATGTATATTTGCTACTTGCTCCCATAGCATGAATACAACAGAACCTGCTCAAAAGGCATATCCCCCCCCCCCCCGCCAAGCGTTTGCATAAGATGCCTCTCAAGAAACATGCAGCAAGTTAACTGCTCCTTCGGAGAGTTTTTCCATAACAATTGCTATTATTATTATTTTTAACAATTTGTAGATTTCCTGCAATAAAAAAGTCAAGAGTCCAGCATTTAATTTCCCAGTATCCTTGGCAAAATGTAAGTGTTTCCTTTTCCCATTGATCCTCTAAGGCAAAATATGTACAAATACCAAAAACATTACAAACAAACACACTGTTAAACACGACACAGGAAATGGGGAAAGTCTCAGCGACGCATCGCAAGTGTGTGAATTTGGCCCCTGTATTTTGTGATATGCTTCTAAGCATCTTGCCCGCTGCTAAAGTCAAGAGAGTTCTGATCACCTCCTGAAAAACAAGGAAATGGTTGCTTTCTGAACATGATTGAAAAATAAAAATAAATAAAATCCTTGTACAGTTGTATCTTGGAAGTCGAACAGAATCTGTTCCGGAAGTCCGTTCGACTTCCAAAATGTTCGAAAACCAAAGAGCGGCTTCTGATTGGCTGCAGGAAGCTTCTGCAACCAATTGGAAGCTGCGAAAGCCCCATCGGACATTCAGCTTCCAAAAATCATTTGAAAACCGGAACACTCACTTCTGGGTTTGCGGCGTTCGGGAGCCAAAAACGTTTGAGAACTAAGCTGTTTGAAAACCAAGGTACAACTGTACCCCAAAGCTCAGGGGATGGACTTGAATCTTCCCCCTGCTTCCTTCTACATGAGGTGGACAGCAAGAACCGAGAAGACGGATCCCAAAGCCAGCCCCAACTGCAAGAACATCATCATCAATACTCCGGCTGCCTCTGACAGCTCTTTTGGTGTGACTTTGGGGCCATACATCATGGCTAATGTATTCAGGTAGCCGTTGCTGAATCCGAGCAATACTGTGAAGACCACCGGATAGGCATCCTGGGTGAAGAAGACCTTTGCGATGTGTTTCCGAGGTTGGAAGTTGCACAGCATGAAGACTGGCACGAAGAAAGTTCTCAGCAGAACCAGAGCCGGCAGCAACTTGCTCTTTGGTCCAGGGGCCTGGATCCAGACGGTGATCTGCCGTCCGCACCAGTCGGCAAAATTGTACAGAAGGAAACTAGTGAGGGGTGTGAAGTACTTGTCCGTCCACAAGCTCCCTGGGACCTTGTCGACAGACTCTATGCTGGATGAGATTGCAGGGAAGATGATGATAGAGATGAAGAAGACGTAGAAGACGCAGAAGCCCAGCACACCCATCTCCTTTAGGATGGATCCCAAGGGAGGGATTCTTCCTCTCTGGTTTCTGTCTGGGGGAAGCAGGCTGGTGTTGCCTGTGGCTGTATCAACATCCTCCAAATAGTCACTAGGCAAGACACATGGTGGCTGCGTGCTGCCCTGTCGCCTTTCCATATAGTACCTGAAATAAGAGAGGCACAGAAAAAAGGCTAGTGTCAGGAAGCCCAACAAAGATGGCAAAACTAGGGACTGAAACGGAAAGGAGATAATCATCAAAGATGACAACAGTGCCAGAAGCCGCGGTTTGTATATGGTTCGATTCTTTGGCAGCAGCTGAAGGATCTCAGGTGGCACAACAAATCTCTGGCTTGCCACTGCTAGTCAGAGAAGACTAATACTTTGTTTGTGTTGTGAGTCATTTATTCAAGGTCCTGTAGCTTGGGGAGTGTATGAATGAGTCAGGAGTGTCTGAGCAGAGGCGACAAAAGAGGAGGCTGGTGGACCCTATTCCAATGATCCCTGTTATGGAGCAGCATGGAGTGCTGAGACGGGAGGGCTGGACGTATGGGAGATCTAGACAGCCACAAACCATCTCTTCTACATCAACCCCTTGCCAGCATGGTCAACGGTAAGGGATGATGGGACCCATAAAAGAGCAACATCTGGAGAGCACAACCTTGGCTGCCCCTGCTTTAAAGGCACATCTGCATTCCTATCCCTACCTTGCAGATCTGCGGTGAAGACTCAAGAGATAGTGGCCTGCCAAGCAAGACCATAAATCTGACAACTTGTCCTCTTAGCCACTACACCAGCTGACAGTGAGTCTCTGGGTGGCAACAGCACTACCTCCCTAGCTGTCAGGCGGCTGCTAGCAACTCCCATGTGGCTGGTTGCCCAGGAATATACAAAGACAAGGAAATGATTCTTACCATCCGCTTTTTATTCAGTATTCACAGAGAGGCTTTGGAACCCAGCCTCTTGGATAACGGCGTTGTCTCGAGTGAATCTCCCCCCTCCCCCCATCTCTCCCACTTCCTCATTTGTCATCCCTACGGGTGCTGACAAGCGCCCTCTACCTTTGAGCTCTTTGCTCTCCTACATTCAAGGCTCGCCGGGTTCGGGAAAGGGGGGTCTGGAATGCTTTCTAAAGACAGTGTGTCTGTCATCAGTTGCCCCCCCCCCGGTGTTTCCTCTATCTCTTCCCCCCCTCCCATTATTTCCCAACTTTCCCCTTCATCTGCCTGAGCTGTGACCTCCCTTAAAACCCTCTTCCTCTTCTCTGGAAGAGTCAGGCTGGGGAGGCGGTCTCCACCATTCCTTCTCTGCCCAGTCCCTGATAAAAGCAGAGGCAGGGAGGCGATATAGACAGGAGCAATTCTGCACAGATCAGATAAGAATCCACATAAAGCTCCTCACCAAGTATCTTGCATCATAGGAGACTACCTCAAAGGCAACAGCGGCCTTAATTGGTACCAGGAAATTAGCAGGCAATGGCTCACAAGCTTGTTATTTTCAACCTACAGCTAGAAAACACATTGGGACTGGCCTGCGTCACTTGAGCAAGAGCTATGAACCATAGTGATTTCAAGAAGTCTCGTAGCAACAGCGTGAATGCTAGATTCAGAAGCAGGCTGATACAGCTTGCTGGCCCCGGTTTTAGGGTTAGAAGCCACAGTCACCAGGACTATCTAAGTGGTTCATAGCTTCTCAAGCAACCATGTTTGTGTGTGTGTGTGTCTGAGTGCACAGTGGTAAATCCCACAGTTCCTGTCTGGTTTTCTTTTTAATCAAATCAGGAAGTTCGGCTGGAGAGAGCAAACAGGGGAAAAGAGTCAGCACATTTTCCACTTAGGGCAGAAGGGGACCTCCACAAAAAGGCAGGAAGCATCGAGAGGAAGCTGTTTTGGAACTCAGCCATTAAGGCACACGCTGCGTGGCAACCTGATGGTCCAAGGGGATTTACCTGGAATACTCCAGCTTGGGAAGGATCAAGTACATCCCAATACAAAGAATAACGAAGAGGTCTGCTGTCAGGAAGTAGGACAAAGCACTGTCTGTAACATCAGGTGCCGCTGCCAGATCCACCACCAATGCCACGGCGCTCACTGTTCCTCCCATGGCCTGACCTACATGGCGAGGAAAGAGGGCGAGGAAGGAGAACAAAAGTCAACGAACTGTGAAATAAGCCCTGGCCTATCCTGGGTCTGCTAGAGCCAGACACTTGCAGTAGGGAGTGGCTCTGAATCAGACAAGCTGGAACTGGGGAAAGCGACAAAAGCAGTAATTAGGGAAGTTCGCAGTTCAGCTGCATTTGCTCTGCAGTGTTATCTAGCCAGAGATCCTGCGATTTTGGTTTGTTCTGCTCACAACGGATTCACCTTTGGCCACTTGTGTCCTTGCTCTTGTTAACTTGTGGTTTTTTCCCCTGCATCCCAAGACCCTCTTCTCACATGCATGTCTTGGATTAACAATGGTAACATCCCATGGTGAGGTTTGGGAAGGGTTAGCTTTTGTTTCACAGCAAAACCACACAGAGACACACACAAGTGTTGAAGGATTTCTGCATTTGAGCAATGACACTCTTGCAAGAATCGTCAGATTCCCTTCCCCCCACCAAAAAAACAACCATTTATGTCAAGATGGCTTCACGTAATTGTTTTTTTCACACACAAAAAAGCAAGTAAACCAACAGGGAAATGTCACCAAGAGACTCTCATCTGGCATGCTTAAAAACCACCCCAGTTTCCAAAAGGGCTAAGCTTAAATTGTTTTGACTGAGACTGGATGAAAAATGTACGGGCACAATTCCACCCCGACTTGCAATTCTGCGAAATAGCATTTCTGTGGTCTGGTGGGTAAAGCCTTTTGGCCTCCTGGTTTTGTTGCCAAATTGTTTCTTTTATGCAGGCATAGTGTGGCTTTCTTGATCTGCACTAAAAATAAAGATATGCTCCAGTACTCTGCAAATACTGGGAGGTTTCCAACAGGAGGTCTGGTGAAAGTCTGCACAGTGGGTCAACCCCCCTAATAACATTCTTTGCTACGGCCTAGAAAAAAAAAGAAAACCTGAAACCTCTGTATTGATTTTAGCATCTCTCTTCCCACCTCGTCTCTCTCAAAGCACATTTCCAGTGTTATCAACGTCTGCTAAACCTCGAGGGGCCTCATCATTCATAGCTGCAAACTTGGAACTCATCAGTTATGGAAATGAATGTTAATGCTGAATATGAAATGAGACAATGCAAAGTTTCATATTTTTTTCCCTGAGATATAAACAAACACAGAGCTGAATGCAGATGTTTTCTTTTCGTACGAAAAGTTAACTCCGTTTTTCCAAACTGAAATACTGCAAGGCTGGACCTCTGAGGAAGAAATAAGAACCAAGGAAAGCGGGCGGAGGGGGGAAATCCACATAAACCAGAGAGTCAGCTTGCTTAATCTGCTGAGCTTCCTTCGGAACTTCCGCCTGACAACACTGTGCGGTTCCCTATTTTCAAAAAGTCATCTTCTGTTAACTTCGTCCAGAGTGAATGCATCGTCATGGGACTAGGCGCTGCCAAACCCTCAAGCCTAAAAGACAAGCACATGCATCCTGCCCACAAAGAAAATTAAAAGCAATTGGAGAAGCCCTGTCTCATGAACTACAGTTTGCAGCCAGGGGCATCACAGGGAGGAGACTTAACCTGAAATCAGCGCTTGGGAATTCCGCATGGGAAAGCTTCCCGTCAGGCCGAAGACGCTGCTGCTGAAGATGGTGGCAGCGCTGCTGGAGACAACCACGCAGACGATGGTGATGACGAAGAAACCCGAAGTCCAGGTGGAGGTGTCCACTTTCACCAGCACCGTGATCACCACCAAGGCAGCCAGCATGGTGACCAGGGAGGAGAGAATGCGCACGCTGACGGAGACCCTGGAGGAGAAAGGCAAGCGGGGTTATAGCATGTGGCTTCTGTGCAAGAAGAGCCCCCTGCTCTTTTCCTTCTCTCCTCCTGACTGGGTGTTGCACAGCAGCACCAAACAGAAGGACACACGAGGTACAGGAGATGTCCCAGGCAATGAGGAGGTGGGGAAAGGCAGAGGGAAGGGGAGGCATGTTGCACAAATCGAGACAGAATACCAGTGGCAGAGGCAGGAACCGAGGAGCCCCGTTCTGGCTTCTCACAGCTGGGTGTGCAATGCGCCGTCTCCCCTAAGAGTCAAGTGCTCAGCCTAAACTCATCAATTTGTGCCATTAAGAGGCAAATATGCCAGTTAGCATTGAGATGTTACAATGAAAGGGCACGTTGAGCAGGTTCACCAAGGGAAAACAGGGCTTTTGAGATCTTTCCTACATCCAAAATCAAAACGAGGCCAAGTGCATACCTGAATAAGACTGCTAATCTGTCCCCCCACATCTATCTGCTATAAACAAATGGGCCCTGTGTTTAACACTAAGCCTTCCAGCTCTTTTCCGGCTGAAAGTGCCACAAGAGATGACTTGCCTTTGCACCCAAGCCATGAGAAGCAGCAGGCATGGCGCTACCCTTCTCACATCACTGTTGCTGCTGCTGGTGGATGGGGGCAGTGACAGCAGAAGCACAGGACTGGCTCCTCTGTGCCCCAACCTCACCCTGCCCCATTGCCACACCATCCAGGTACACAGCAAGAACTCTGGTGCTGGGGCCCTCTCCTTAGAAGGGCCATTTTATAGTTCACACAGAGAAAAGCCCAGGTTTGCTAGTAATTGCACACTCATTGGGGGGCTTCAGCCAACCACAATTCCATGAGGAGCATACCTAGACAATGCACATGTTCACATTTCAAAGAGTACTCTTCAGCATCACCCTTAAAAAGATAATGTGTGATATGCTTCACTCCACCTGTTGCCTATCAGTTTGCATTTTCCCCATGTGAATCTGAAGAGGCTTCTTCGTAGAATTGAGATTCTTCATAGAATTCTTTATAGAACTGTAGAGTTGGAAGGGACCCCATGGATCATCTAGTCAAACCCCCTGCAATGAAGGAGCTTGCAGCTGTCCCATACAGGGATTGAACTGGCAACCCTGGCGTTATCAGCACCACACTCTAACCAAGGTGTGGTGTAAAGTTAGAGTGTAAAGTATTCTTTTAAAAAAACAGGCAGGGCCTGCCTCTTAAACAGGGCTGCAGCACAGGGTGAAATGGACCAGTAGCTTTGTTTCTGGGATAGACTTTGGCTTTTATTTACCTTAATTATGGAGCATCTTATTATTACAGCGCCTGAATGCAGTCTTTTTGTGCAGGAAATTCAACATTCTGTCTCACGACAAATGGAAACTTCCTTATTTTCCACACTGCTTTGTCGAGTTGAAAAGAGTTGCCTGTACTTCTCTCTGGCTGACTCCAAATCTGATACTCTCTTTAATCGGCGTTTAGTTGCAAAAGGGGGAAAACATGGCATTTCCTCCAAACCTCCCACAATACTTTGCTACAAGCACTGTCCACCAGCCGCCTAGTTATGCCTCCTGTTCGTAAGGAAGGCTGCTGATACGAGAGCCCTGGGGAGTTCTCCAATGACTTAAAGGAAGCCAGGTAACTAGAGAGATGAACCAGAGTATGTGCTGCTGCTCTCAACTAAAGTTGCAGAGATGGCTGAACCACTTACGAAGAACTTAAGGCAAAAATGGGTGGGTGAGGAGGGGCTTGGAACAATAAGCATCCCCCCCCACCATTTAAATCAAATGTACAGATTCTACTTTTCTCGCACCAGTCTTTTCTTGATCTACTGTCTCTATAAACCCTGCCAAGTTGGAAATGCCCAACAGAAATCACAACAGCAACAGGCAGCAATAACAGGAATGAAGCCTGCCTGGGGAATACTGCAGCCTGGGGAATAGCAATCGCATGCTTATCACTACAAGATAATTAGCTGCCTGAACAGGGAGGTTACTTATTATAGACACTGAAGACTTGACTGGCTCCCTTTCAGCAGAGAGGGCAGGGAAGGAGGGGAAAAAAAGGCAGAAAATGACCATGATTCTAGCAGCGGATGGGCATTCTATTTCTCTTTTAGGGATAAGAGACTGCAGTTCAAACATCCTCTTGTGATATACATCCTCCTTTTAAGAGGCTCCAGATGGGATACGCTTCATGCCACGTCACTGAACAAGTTAGAGATGTTGTCTGCCTGGCTCAGGGACTCCCTGAGAAATGCAACCTGTTTGCATGCAACAGTTCCAGAAAGACACAATAAGGAAGCAGAATAGATTGGGCAAACAGAAGCACCACTTCTTGCACACTGAACATGCTAGTTTCTTTCTCGCTCTCTTCTCCCCCCCAAAAAAATGTCACCTTCACCCACACAGTCAGGAAATCCATTTCAAAAGCATCATCATTTTTAGCCACGAGAGCAGATCCCCTTAACAAGGTGGAGCACAGAGTAGTCATAAGTTACTCTCTGGAGGCAACTGAACTACAGGGAACCGATTTGCTCAGGAGTTTCCATAAATGCAAGCCAGCCTCATGTGTATTTATGACGCCGAAAACTTAGCATAATAAAACACTTATTGATTATGGATGTGCCACTCAGCAGAATCAACAATGTGCCAAAGATAAATGAATGCTACATTTAAAATGTAATGCATTAAGCACATAATGGCTTTTGCGAAATGGTTTTCCAACCTGGAGAATATTTAAGAAGAGGAGGAGGAGGAGCAGGCGTTCCTATCTCTGGGTGCCCTTCCTTTTTTGCCTTCTGCTTCTTTCCACTTCCAAGGCATAATTTGGAAAACAACTACCGTCGTCACCCGTGTTTTCTGTTTTCTGCAATAAAACAGCAGTAGCAATGCAGAACATTTGGGCATTAACATTCAGAGAGCTCCATTTAAGCAAACGAGGGCCTTCTCCACTGGATGATTCTGGAGAACAAGTCTCAGACGTACAGCAGGTGCATTGCGCGGCCACCCCTGGGATTTTCAGGTGGCTTTCCACAGTTTCATTGCTGAAGTGCACAAAGAATAAGGAAGATGAAAAAGCATCGGCATCCCTAGAACATCACAGGCACAGAAACTACAGCTCCTGCTCAGCAGGGAGCTGAGGAGCTCCAGCACTGGAGTCCTAGTGCAAAGATTTTGACCCAGGAGGTGGGGAGAACTACACAGTGTTGTTTCTCCAGTTCTCTTGGCAGGGGGTGGTGGATATGAAAGAGGAATATCCCTCTGTGCCAGACCAAACCCTGGCCTCTGTTTACTAGACACAAGAAAGTCCGCAAGCAAGAGAAATAGGCCTGATGTAGAAAAAAGGAATCACAGGAAGTGGTCCCTCGAGGGAATGCAATGAGCGAGATGCAAGCTTCTAGGCTATGTGAGAATTTGAGGTTTTAAGTTTGAATAGAAGGGCAAAAGCCTTGAAACTTTATGTGCAAACCTCTGTCTGTCTGTGTGTCTGTCGCTCTAGCTCTCTTCCACACCCACACCTGTGAACAGATGCTGAATAGACTGTACTGCATTGGTGTCCAAACATTTTTCAAAGAGGGCCAGATGTGATGAAGCGAAGGGCTGTGAGGGCAGACCAAGGGGCCAACCAAGGTTGTTAACCTTTTCTTAGGACTGAAGTTGTTGAGCTTTTTTTAGGATTTTACCCCAGGAAAAAAGCTGCCACAGGGGGCCGGATTAGGTCCCCAAAATGGACGTTGGGCATGCCTGCTGTACTGCGATTGTCCCATCCTGGGATACCTTGGCTGTCTGCAATATCCTGATTTAGTGGCAGGGGGAGCTTTTAATTACTGTATTTTTTGCTCTATAAGACTCACTTTTTCCCTCCTAAAAAGTAAGGGGAAATGTGTGTGCGTCTTATGGAGCGAATGCAGGCTGCGCAGCTATCACAGAAGCCAGAACAGCAAGAGGGATTGCTGCTTTCACTGTGCAGCGATCCCTCTTGCTGTTCTGGCTTCTGAGATTCAGAATATTTTTTTTCTTGTTTTCCTCCTCCAAAAACTAGGTGCGTCTTGTGGTCTGGTGCATCTTATAGAGCGAAAAATACGGTACCTATCAGTGTGTAGTTAAAGTGTAATACGTGGCAATGGTCAGCTGTACGAGCTCATTGCTTGGATGCTGATCTGCCCATTGAATACAATCTCAAGCTGCTAAACGTTTATCTTCCCTTCCCCTTGAATGCCGCTACCCTGGCTCTTCTTCTCTTCCTACATTAGGCTACAGGCACATCTGTTCAGGATGAAGTGGCAGACTTGGAAGCCTGCTAGCCTCCCGCAACTGGCATCGCCTGAACAATTTCGGATACTGCCTGCCATCGTCATGGGACTAAATTACAAGATGTGACCGCTCTGAGAAGCTTCTCTGCTTCTCGGGGTTTTCTGCCTAAACCGATTTGCCCATCAAGCGTTTCTTAGCTTGACTTGTAGCCCACTGCTGTGCTAACGCTGCAGCCTCGGGGGTGGGGGGTGGAGGGAGAGGTGGTGTGGCCAGGATTGCACAGAGGGGAGGAAATGGCCATGCCTAATGCAGTTGCACTTACTTGTTGACTAGCAGGAAGTTCCCAATCAAGCACAGCACAGAAGGCACAGTGGAAGCCATGGAAATGTAGCTTTCAAAGAAGTCCTAAGGAAGGGAGGAAAAGTGTGTCAAAGAGGGTTGCAAAAACTATGCCTCAGAAAGAACAAAAATACATGACATGGCTTGTCCCCGAGTTTCCCTGTCACAAGTCGCAGGCACAGCAGCCCAAGGTCACGGCTTCGCAGCGCCCTGAAGCTTGCAGGGCTGCAGACTTTGCAAAGCGATTAACCCCACACCACTCAATTTGTTTAGCCGAGGAGCATGTCTGCTATTGGGAACCTCAAGACACCCCTTGCTGCATTACTGGCCACTCCACAGCGTGAATCACATTGTGACCTTTTTCTTAGTTCTCATTAAGGAAGGTTAAAAACACAAGAGGGGGGGAAAGGACTCCTCCTCCTTTTTCTTCTATGAATTGTGCCAGCAGTCAAGATACACAAGGTGAACCCTTTAATCTCCACATGGGGGAAAATTCTCCGCCACAGAAGGCCTGTAATTTAAGACGAAGCCTTTTGCCTGCAATAAGAAATGGCTGTCCCAGGTGCGGGCAAATGTGGCATTTTTTTATGCAAGAGATTTCATGGGAGAACAAGAAATGAAATGAGGCAGTGGGGACAGGAGTCAATGTTACTTGGAATCTCTGTGTTCATACAGAAGATGCAAAGTTTTAGCACTTAGGAAGGTAGGTTTTAAACCATGTGGGCAAATGCCTACAGAAATCCCATAGTATTTTGCCTGCCTGCCCTGCATCCACACTTGTGCCTCTGTTAGTAATCTGTGGCATGCTAAATTGCTGTTTAGGGGATGCGGGTGGCGCTGTGGGTTAAACCACAGAACCTAGGGCTTGCCAATCAGAAGGTCGGCGGTTCGAATCCCTGCGACGGGGTGAGCTCCCGTTGTTCGGTCCCAGCTCCTGCCAACCTAGCAGTTCGAAAGCACATCGAAGTGCAAGTAGATAAATAGGTACCACTCCAGTGGGAAGGTAAACGGCGTTTCCGTGCACTGCTCTGGTTCGCCAGAAGCGGCTTAGTCATGCTGGCCACATGACCCGGAAGCTGTACGCCGGCTCCCTTGGCCAATAAAGCGAGATGAGCGCCGCAACCCCAGAGTCGGTCACGACTGGACCTAACGGTCAGGGGTCCCTTTACCTTTGAATTGCTGTTTACAAAGACTACCCTGTCTACTGATTTGGAAGTGACCAGGCAAGGAAGCTTTTACAGCCTGGGAAAAAGTTACCTCTCCTCACTTTCTCAGTCTTCCAGTGTCCCACAAATTACTAATGTGGGAATGTGTGGATACAGGCAGGTTGGCAAACACTTTTATAGGCTAGTAACTTGTGTGGACTTATTTATAGGAAGTGATTCAGCTGCCCTGCAAATCAAGACGGTCTTCTATTTTACTGCTGTTTAATTCTCCCAAACTTCTCTTCTCTCCCCGCATACGAGAGACCAGAGAATCCCGACCAGAGCTCATCACCTCGATGTGAGCTTGTGTGCACAGAATAGGCTCTGGAAAATTCCAGACAAGCTGGGTGCATTGATCTCAATTGCATTTTCAAGATGTATTTTCTTTGATCTCCTGTATCAGCCCAATAAGCCTTCAGTGACCAGTGGTCTAAATCAATGAAAACTGAGGTTCATAATGAGATGGTGGGTGGAGAGAGAATGGCCCAGTATTAGCCACAGCTTCTCCAGCACAATGCAATAATTTCAGGCAAAAATACTGGATACTTAAATATATACGTATTTGTCTTTTTTCTAAAGGGGAAAAATTGCCCAGTGGTGTTAGCAAAAAGTCTGCCCCGTGCTGCCAAGATGCTTTTGCAAAGTGGCTTTTTATTCAGCTTAAACTCGGCAGCAGAAGCAGCTGGGTTCCTGCTGGGCTAAAAAAGCAGTTCAAGCCCTGGGTGACGGAGCAAGGCACTAGAGCGTTACCTGGATCACAGGGCATGAAATTAGCAGCAGCCAGCAGGTTGGAGCCAAGAATAGCTTGCAGTTGTGAGCTCATCTTCAGATAGCCGAGACCTGCTTCTAACGAGTCTGTGCGGGGCCAACGAACTCTCCCCCCGCTTTGCTGCTCACTCATCACACCCCAACACCGAACGCCCGGACAGAAGCTGACTCCCAAAGCAAGCTGCTCTGCTGGAAATTTCAATAGCTGTGAAAGGGCAACCGCGCCCATCAGTTGCCCAGATTCACAGCTCTGTCGGCCGGATTTTGAATGATGGAACATCCCTATTTTGTTTCATTAGCGCTTTTTAGGAGGTAATTATAGTCAAAGAGGCAGAGCTATGCATGCCAAGGTTTGTTATTGGCTACAGATTGTGGTTAGCAAGGAAAGAGCTAAACCATGAGTCTGGGTTCAGGGTTAGGGTTAGGGTTAGGGTTAGGGTCAAACCTTGGCTTAGCTCAATCTGGCATGGGAGTAGAAAAGGCCGGGGAGGAGCAAAATGTCTGCGAGCTTCTCTCCAGGAGACCACCCACTCATGTGGTCCTGGTTTAAGTCACAGTTTGGCTTACTGTGTCTTGAGACCCTGCTCTCTGGCTGCCAGTTTGTTTCCAGGCAGAATTCAAACAGCAGGTCTGGGTCTCTGGAGCACTGAATGACGTGGGATCAGAGTAACCAAAGGTCTGTCTGCTTCCATACGATGAACCTCCCTAACTGATGAGATCTCTGTTCTTCTGTGTGGACCTTGTGGTGGAAAGGTGGGGTATAAAATATTTGTGTATATATATTAAAAAGTGGGAATCTTATTCTCCAAGGCTTCCAATATTTTATACGGGCACCACCCACATATTTTCTAGCTTATCTTTGCATCCTTGAAAACAAAAGAGCTTAAGATATAGTCAAGACTCCCAGACGGGTGATTTCTGCACACCATGTTCTATATATTTCTGTTCTGGCATGGAATCGGGAAAGACACACAGCCCTGATCACAAGGCAGGCTTAGATAAAGCAGGCCCTTGTGCAGGAGAAGTTTCATGGCTCAGTGAAAAGGACACATGCACTGAATGCAGATGGCCCCAGGTTCAAAACACAGTAACTCCAAGGCTGGAAACGTCCCCTATCGGAAACCCTAAAAAGCAGACAGTGCAGGCAATACTGATGGGCCACTGACCTGATTTAGCAAAACAGCATCTTCCTATGAGACCCCGCTCCTATCAGATACCCACAGAACATCCAGCTTGCTATGTGCACCTGCCAGCATCACCTTTGCTTTTCCTGATTCCAAGGTGTATCCAGCATTAGCCTAAGATGCACCTGTTAAGCACCTGCAGTGTGCAACCACTGGCAGTGAGAAGAAGGGAGGGTAAAAAGAACTGACTCCATCACCCATGGTGACCAATTTAGCTTACTGTACAGGCTGAAGGAAGTTAAGGAAACACTATGCAAGGATGCCATATAGCACTCCAACACCCAAGTCATGGCACTCTCTGCAAAAGGCCAATGGTGATGTGATCTAAAGCTCCCCTTGTCTGACACCAGGTTAGGTTGGATGTCCCACCTTGTTTCCTGATCAAACCTTTAATCTCCCTATGCCTTGATTCCTTCCTCTTTGTAGAACTGCGGCATTCGCACCAGTTCCCCACAGTCATTTGTTATTAGGAGAAATTACTGACTGTGCTGCACCCTGAGAAACCACCAGATGGAAGGAACTATAATTAAACAGCAGACTGCAGGAGATTGCTCTGCTTTGCAGGGCCTGGTTCCAACTGGTGCTTAATTTTTAGAAGAGGAGGCAGAGATGCCAGGGCTCCAGCCTCTCCAGAAGCATCAGACTTTTCGATCTGGAAGCCCTCCTTCCTAGCAATGCGCAGCCTGAGGGGGCTCTCTGCACTTTCTGTAGTGCTGAGGTTGCTCCATGCCTGCTCAGAGATCTTTTCAATTATTCTTTTGCCACACGTTTCAGGGCCGAGCAGTTCAGAGGATGGTTAGAGACATGGGAAAGCAAGTCCTCTGAGGAAAAGGTGAAGGAGCTGAGGTCGCTTCCACATCATACACCTGGGAGGTGTAGTTTGTTATGGGTGCTGACCTCACAGAGCTACAATTCCCAGTACTAGTAACAAACTACAGACCCCAGGATTCTCAATTAACGTGGTAGAAGAATGCTTTAAATATATGGCATAGATGTGACCCAGGTATATTTAGCTGGGTCAAGAGAAGACTAAGGGGGAGGGGGATGTGATAGCCCTCTTAAAATCCCCGAAGGACTGCCACACAGAGGGGAAAGCCTTGTCCCCTAGGTACCTCAGAGGATAGAACTAGATTTAACCTGTTCAAGTACGGTAGATTAGGAAAAACCTCTTGAGAGTAAAAGAAGTTGGGCAAGGGAACCAATTCCCTAGAGAGGTGCTGGGCTCTTCCTCACTGCAGGCCTTCTGGCAGAGGCCCGACAGTCATCTCTTGGGCATGTTCTAGCTCTGTATTTCCTTCACCCAGCAGAGGATTGGACTAGATACCTACAAGGCCCTCTCCAACTCTATGAGCCCATATGTGAGAGTGGAATGGCTGGTGAGCCATTAAGACCAGGCTCTAGTCTTGGACTCCTGGAAACGGGTTATCCGTGGCACCAAATCTGGGCTGCTATGTCAATACATTAAAAGGCAACAACAAAATCTTCTGTGACTTTACTAGGCCATTAGTGCAAGCCAGTGCTTTCTCAAATAATAGGTCAGGCCTCCCCAGCAGGCTGCCAAGGCTTCTTGCTGTGCAATCAACTTGGCATGTTGGACATATATGCACATTAGGCCCCTTTTGCTGGCGTTTCATTTTGCTTGCGCATATCTGGTAATAACACCGGTGTTATTAAAATTCCTGTGCAATGGCAATTCAGCTACAACCATTCTTCAAAGTGTAAGTGCCGAGAAATATTTAAAGCCTCCATTTTCCATTGTTCTTTAGGAAGAGCAGACTCCTTTGGCTTGATCATTCATCCACTTCGAGGCAAATCATGCAAAGCAGAGCAGAGAACAAAGCTATGGGCTCTGGTGCAGGGAGTTACTGAAAGGGCAGGCTTCCAGACCAGAAAAAAATGCATGACGTTA